GGATGTACCCAGTGTGCTGACAGTGCTCAACACCGCGGAGGCAGAGCGTAATACAGAACAACAAGGACAATCAAGGCTTGTTTGCTGCTACTTAAAGTTTCATGCTCTCCCAAACATCAGGCAACATGAGGATGGAGTGCCAACCATGCCGGTATACTACACTGTATAAGTATGCCAGGAGCGGGTGGGTCTTGTAGCGCTGTATGAACAACTGTGTGAGAATGTGGGGGCTCTATAGGTTTCAGGGCTAGCGGTGTGTAGTTTAGATAGATCAGGGATTTTAAAGAAGCACGGAGATATGCACTGTAACTATCAGGACTCTGAGGAGTATAATGTGAGTGAGAGTATTATGATTCAGCTGTGTACACACGAGGACTAGGGTTTTCAAGTTGATCATGTGACTACTTGGTCCGTTTCATCGCAATTGTCGCTTATCTCCCACACACCTTTTGACAGGTAAAACACAGTCCGATCTCGATATCTAAGTCACATTCGTTTGGGAGGTTGTGATGGAAAGATCAAAGGAGACCAGAAAGAAAAAATCATCGTGACTGGCGCCAGTGGCATCGCGATTCGTACGATTTTGATGGGAAAGTGGGGAACCTTTTGCTGCAGTGAATGCACTGCACTGCAGTCTGCAGTGAATGCACACATTCACTGCAGCAAAAAGCCAAGCGCAGCTCAAAGACCAGAACTGTAGCAGGGGAAATCGACATCTTGACCTGGAGAGCGTGACAGTCACGGCCAGGCCAGCCAGCTCAGTCGCCACGTTTGAACTGCAACGGCCTGGCATTCTTTGCAAGCCTGCAAACTGATGGGAGATGGTGGCAAAGAAGACATTGTCCGACCTGGCAGTGGCAGTACAAGAGTCGTGATCAGCGTATCCAGCAGAGCGTTTGACAGCTGTCTGGAGAGGGATGTGTGCCTGATTCAAAAACATTCTTGAAACACAGAGTAATGTAGTGACACACGGGTCACGCTGCCCACGTTCCTCCAAGTGCCAAACGGACAGCCACGACTGTCCCTTTCCCATCGCTGCCGTACGCCAAGCGGAGAAAGCAAGAGATACTCTACGCCAGCAGCTATGCAGACCAGCGAATGTCAGCTCAAGTGACATCAGCTCGAGTGATACAGAGCCAGAGTCGGATAAACTAGAGCGTGAGTGCAAGAACGCGCTCCGTCACTGTTTTCTTTAGTACATTTTTTGTACCCTTGCTTCCTTTCTTCGACTTGCTTCATCAGATTCCATCGCTGAATTTTTTTCTTGTGGCAGACAGGAATCCTGTATCATGCTTCTTCACTATGCGTATTGGAAATTTTACAGAGCGGTAAAAAACTCCTGTTCTTAGTTGCGATAGATAAGCGACAATTGCGATGAAACGGACCAAGTATGATCATGTGACCATGATCATTTCACCATGATCATGTGACTATGATCATGTGACTATGATCATGTGACTATGATCATGTGACTATGATCATGTGACTATGATCATGTGACCATGATCAAAGCGCTGCATGCTCTCCAAGTTTCACATACCGCAGTCCTCTCTTGGCCGACATGACCTGATTTCACGAGTACATGTGTCTGGACATTGTTTCCCGAGTCCCGTGGGCGGCAGTGTGATATCGCGTTCGCGCGTCTGGAGCCCATTCAGGCACGTGACAGAGCACGCCGACCACATCGACCAGTTGCCGATGACACAATCTAAGATGTCTAAGATGCAGGACAAGAACAGCAAACAAACCACATCACACATCAACAATGACGGAGAATGGTGCTTCCAGCCGAGGGAGGGGAAAACCCTTCCGGAGTATAGATCAGGGTACTGTCACCCATTGATGGATCGCTATTTGATTTTTGGGTGGATTATACGAAACTTTCTTTCAAAAGAAACCCGTAATGTGACTCACCCTGATCACATGTTGGTGGCGGGTTGTCCCACTGGCCTGTGGGCAGACATTGCAGAGTGTCCGCTCCATTCAGACTGTATCCTGGAGAGCAGTGCAGTCTCCAAACACTGGAGAAACTCGTGTCTGTAGAAGAAGACTGCGTTCTCGGAGATAGTGTTAGCGTAGGACAATGGACAATCTCACAAGTTGGTGACACTGCTAGAGACCACTGTCCACTTTCAAGACATTGTGTTGTCTGATCTCCACTCAGTGTGTAGCCAACATCACAGGAATATACAACAGTCTCACCATATGTATATTCAGTACCACTGATTACACCATGAGTAGGAACTGGAGGCTCTCCACATGATACAGCTGTACACACAAAAAATCCGTGCTTAAAAATCTACTGCTTACAGTACATTCCTAAAATGATGGACTTCTAGCGTTTGGCTATAGTGTGTGTAGACAGAAGGAGAACAGGACAACGACCACTCAAGACTAGACTAGAACAGAACCGGAGCATGCTCTCTTCTATGTGAGTGGCTCATTGCCAAGGGGAACGAGCGGAAAATACGAATAGTGAGTATACAGGTCGTAGAATACATACACCTATTACAGATCAAAATTGAGTTAACAAATTGCAATCCTGTATGGAATACTCTTCCAATTATGTTTCTGAATCTCTCCAAAAAGCAAGCCGTAAAAAGAATAGGATTTAGGCCAGGTTTTTCTGGAAAAGCACTGAATTGGGAAAACCATGAAAATCCAGACAGTTTCACTCCACTTGCAGCAGTACATTGTGCGGTTTGAACCCTGCTATGGAATCATAGCCATTCCGTTCCCCGGGACGCAGGACAAAAAGGACAAGTTTAGTTGTTTACATTATCATATTCTTGTCATGACAGAAACCAGTTACTACGACATGACGGAAAGCAAACTGACTCAAACGGACGAACAAGAAGACTAACAAAAGGACTCCAACATCGCACATGCTCATATCACACATGCACGCGACTAGACAAAGACAGTTTGGGGAATGTCATCACACAGGAAAACAATACATCGTTTCATGGCAATCCCAGTTGAAGTACCTTTTTGGACCCTTTTCAAATTTCAAATTTCGCGGCACAGCACCGTGTACGATAAATCACCAAAAACGGGAGCTCGCCAGAGCCAGAGCCCATCTATTTATGAATGGACTTTAGTCGGGAGGGGAGGGGGGGGGGGGGTAAACCCAGGCAGGAGACGGTAATAGACTTCAGAGAGATCTTTGGTTATACACGCATCCACCATCACAAGAAAAGCAGCACTCCTCTCCTACCTTGGCAAGATTGTGATGACTGGTCAAAGTGATATCCAGTTTGACACGAACACTGGTATGATCCCTGGGTATTCGTACACAGCATGTCTCCAGAACACACCGGACCACTGCCAATACACTCATCTATATCTGCAGTAGCAACAGCATCACAGGAATTAAGTGACAGGACAGGCAGCCATGGTGATTTTGGTGCGTTCACCTCACCAGAAAACACATTCCTGGATTTTTTAATAGGATTTGAGGCACCGGTTTCAGTTCTATTCGCCGCCACCAGAGTCTTTTCGGCATTGGACTCACATGGCCAGCACCGTAGAACGGACAGTAACGAAGTGTGTAGCCTTATCCTTGAAGGACTATCACGCAAAGGATACGACGAGAGCACGCGTACCACTGCACACAGGAATTAGCTAAATGTGCATTAATGTTATTCCCGTAGCTATGCAAAAGACGTTACTTCAGCAACGTCTGGCGTGAAGTAACGTCTGGCGCTAGCCAGGGTCCACACAGCCTTAATTCCATGTTTGTCTGCTTGTGCCATCGGCATGCCTGGCGCCATCCCGTACCGTACCATCAAAGACAGCTGGCCACTATATTCAAATGCAAGATCATAACGTGAAGCAACTTGGAGGAATGAGTATGTATGCAAAGTGTATAAGGGGAATGCATGCAGGGTGGTAGTGCGGGTTCGAATCCTAGGATATGTCTTGAAAAAGAGATAGGAGAAATGAAAAATTTATAACATCCCTATGCTTTTTGCCTAGGTCATTAAGGTGGAAGACGGTGTAGTATTACCCCCAAATGCAAAGAGATAAAACATTTCCACTGGCACACACGCACACATACTGGCACACACGCCTGCCAATGTGTCTTTGCATGCTCACTCTCACGAGCATCCTTTGTTTCAAACTGTTTTGGGTAGCTGAAAGGTTTCGGGAAAGTCGAGAAATCACGTAGAGAGCAGGTGTCTGTGTTTGAGTCTACGGCTTCGCGTGCATTGGGTCCAGATTTCTGCGGGAAGATGAGGTTCTCTATGTTGTGGCATACCCAAATAAAATGCGTTCGGACCTGCTGGGTATCATGCGGATTAGTGCTAAATCAGGAGCGGGAAATTCCCAGTACAGAATCCAAACGATTTGTTTCCGTGAACATGGCACGCAACAGGTCTCTCATACGTTATGAGAATGCGAAGAGCGATCAAGGGATTGTCCACGCCGCATTTGCGTAACGCAGAGCCGAGCACGCCAATTTCTCGACACTTGCCTAACATATTCCCAGTGAGTGCATATCTCTTGTAGGCTCTTGTGCATGGACGTGAATCACATGCAAGCCACAGAAAAGTGCAAACGGGTACCTTGGCATGTCACTTGATCCAGAGCAAGGTTGTAGCCATCTTGACATGCACACTGGAAAGACCCATCCGTATTGATACACAGACCATCACAAGGACTTGTTGGTGAGCTGTTACACTCATCAATATCTGAAACAACAAACATCAAAATGCAACCACTCTCTTACCTCCTGGCAACAATTAAATTAGAACGTAGCGCAAAAATACAGGGTCTGCTTGAGGAAAAGAGATAAGGCCCACAACAAGCTGGTGAAAGACCGAAAATCCCGTTGACTGCATCCATGTTTCCCTCATGCCAGGCCAAACACTCGCAATGCACACTCACATACACACACACAAACACACACACATATATACACACACACACACACACTGTGGCAAGCACACAAGCGCACAAATGGAACCATTGAGCTGGGTGTTGCCATGATTTCTCTTTGAAGACAAACTATATACAATAGCATACTCGGTGAATTAATCCTGCTCATCGAAGACTGTGGGACCATCACATACTTCCCACTGAGGGTACACAAACTTCCATCAGTGTCCCACAAAGGACAAACATGACTGCTGGGCATCAGGCACCATATCACCCTTGCAAATACAGTCGTCCCTCTCTAATCCGGCACCTTTTGCAACGGCATTTTCTGCTGGATAAACAAGGGTGCTGGATTATAAAATCCTGCCCTCCAACCCGGCCCACCTATTAACGTACATGTTTGTGTCGTACGTCAAAACGGAGCGATTTTCTTTGTCATCCAAGTACTTCGTGGAATGCATATCTATAACATACACTTGGGAATACGAGTGCATAGGATATTCCCAAGTGTATGTTACATGTGTTGTGTATGTTACAATGCTCCCTGACGGTATGCGATGTACAACTGCTGGATTAGAAAATCGAATTGTGTACAGTTTGAGTGATTTGTTGCAGAAAATCGCTGCTGGAGGCGGAATTCAAGTGCCGGATAAAGCGTAGAAAATGAACTGAAAAAATCTGTTTTGCCAGAAAGTGTGCTGGTTTGCAAGGGTGCTGGATAAACAAGTGCCGGATTAGAGAGGGACGACTGTACATGTATACATAAAAGCACTTTCATGGTAAACGCACCTTCAACATTTTTCCATTTTATGATCTGAGGTTGAATTTTCACCGCACACACCCTAATAAAAACTACCATAACTCACCCTGATCACATGTTGGTGGCGGGTTGTCCCACTGGCCTGTGGGCAGACATTGCAGAGTGTCTGCTCCATTCAGACTGTAGCCTGGAGAGCAGTGCATTCTCCAAACACTGGAGAAACTCGTGTCTGTAGAAGAAGACTGCGTTCTCGGAGATAGTGTTAGCGTAGGACAATGGACAATCTCACAAGTTGCTGGTGACACCGCTAGAGACCACTGTCCACTTTCAAGACATTGTGTTGTCTGATCTCCACTCAGTGTGTAGCCAACATCACAGGAATATACAACAGTCCCACCATATGTATACTCAGTACCACTGATTACACCATGAGTAGGAACTGGAGGCTGTCCACATGATACAGCTGCAGACACAAACACAAAATTCATCAAATGCACAGCACTCATCTTAACGTTATGTGCAATGCAGTGTGTTGTTCACTGGAGCAGATTACTGCCCAGTTACACACTTTGCCATTCACAGTCCGCTTCTTCCACATAATTATTATCTCGGTATCACGGTTCGGACAGTACGACTTCCATGTTCTAATCCTCCATGTGCCCAATGCTGTACGCAGCACGCTGTTTCATATAGCAGAAACCTCATCGGTCTAAAGTTACATCTTGGCCTATCTGCTCACAGGGAATAGGGGAACGGGAGGTATGCATCGAAGATGGACGTCACCCTTTTGCGGGGCAGGTTGCCTCAGTCATCGTTGGCAGGTACAACCCGTTCTAGTACATTTATGAGTATGACCTCACAAAGTTCATGACTTTTTATGCAGAGCTGGTATCACAGTGTGTACGGCTGTAGTGGACTTGCACCGCAGAACCAAACGGCGGGAAATGGATGCATACGTTCCATTTCCACTTCAAGTTTGGATTTCGTGGGGAAATAAATTGTAGGAGTATGTTACATGTTCATGTTGTCACACAACACCATAACCCTGTGCCAACACCATAACCCTGTACCCACACCATAACCCTGTACCAACAGCATAACCCTGTACCAACAGCATAACCCTGTACCAACAGCATAACCCTGTACCAACACCATAACCCTGTGCCAACACCATAACCCTGTACCAACACCATAACCCTGTACCAACACCATAACCCTGTACCCACACCATAACCCTGCACCAACACCATAACCCTGTACCCACACCATAACCCTGTACCAACACCATAACCCTGCACCAACACCATAACCCTGTGCCAACACCATAACCCTGTACCAACACCATAACCCTGTACCAACACCATAACCCTGTGCCAACACCATAACCCTGTGCAAACACCATAACCCTGTACCAACACCATAACCCTGTGCCAACACCATAACCCTGTGCCAACACCATAACCCTGTGCCAACACCATAACCCTGTACCAACACCATAACCCTGTACCAACACCATAACCCTGTACCAACACCATAACCCTGTGCCAACACCATAACACTGTGTCAACACCATAACCCTGTGTCAACACCATAACCCTGTGCAAACACCATAACCCTGTACCAACACCATAACCCTGTACCAACACCATAACCCTGTACCAACACCATAACCCTGTGTCAACACCATAACCCTGTGCCAACACCATAACCCTGTACCAACACCATAACCCTGTACCATCACCATAACCCTGTACCAACACCATAACCCTGTGCAAACACCATAACCCTGTACCAACACCATAACCCTGTACCAACACCATAACCCTGTGCCAACACCATAACCCTGTGCCCAAGTTCGATGCCATGCCAACAGGTAAGAAGACAAAGTGGAGAAAATAGGCTTATTTGTATGGGTGTGAATGCATGGGTGTAAATCACATGCAAGCCACTGAAAAGTGAAAATGGGTACCTTGGCATGTGACTTGATCCAGAGCAAGGTTGTAGCCATCTTGACACGCACACTGGAAAGACCCATCCGTATTGACACACAGGCCATCACAAGGACTTGTTGCTGAGCTGTTACACTCATCAATATCTGAAGCAACAAACATCAAAATACAACCTCTCTCTCTCTCTCCCTCTCTCTCTCTCTCTCTCTCTCTCTCTCTCTCTCTCTCTCTCTCTCTCTCTCTCTCTCTCTCTCTCTCTCTCTCTCTCTCTCTCTCTCTCTCTCTCTCTCTCTCTCTCTCTCTCTCTCTCTCTCTCTCTCTCTCTCTCTCTCTCTCTCTCTCTACCTCCTTGCAACAATTAAATTGGAACATAATGGAAACATGGTTTGTGCGAGGTAAGTAGATCCAACCTACCACTGGTTGAAGACTGAAAATACTGTCATGGACATTGAAAAGGGAGTGTTCCCCACATTTTGTATCTGAGGCTGACCTCTCGCCGCTCATACCTCGTGTTTTCCTTTGACCTCTACTACGCGAGGTCCCTTTTGGCGCTGTGCTGTGCTCGGGGTTCGCCGCCGCTTATGAATCACCCGCGGACTGCGCAGGTTGCCCTACTTCGCATGCAAAAGTAATATAACCATTTTTCTTCCAAACTTTCTCGGCTTTTTCCTGAACTCTTCCTCCTTGTAGCAAGAAGAAACTGTTGCTCTGTGTTGTGGAGTACGTGCATGAGAGGAAGAGAATAGGAGAAGTCCATCATCAGATCTTGCACCCGACGACACTCGTATTAAAAAAATTGCTACCATGACTCACCCTGATCACATGCTGGTGGCGGGTTGTCCCACTGGCCTGTGGGCAGACATTGCAGAGTGTCTGCTCCATTCAGACTGTAGCCTGGAGAGCAGTGCATTCTCCAAACACTGGAGAAACTCGTGTCTGCAGAAGAAGACTGCGTTCTCGGAGACAGTGTTAGCATGGGACAATGGACAATCTCACAAGTTGGTGACACTGCTAGAGACCACTGTCCACTTTCAAGACATTGTGTTGTCTGATCTCCACTCAGTGTGTAGCCAACATCACAGGAATGTACAACAGTCTCACCATATGTATACTCAGTACCACTGATTACACCATGAGTAGCAACTGGAGGCTGTCCACATGATACAGCTGTAGACACAAAATGAAATCCATCACTTTCACAAAACTCTTCATGAACGTCCATGTACTGAATATGCAGTGTATTGTTTGCTTGGCTAGATTTCGAAATTCATTCAGTATGAGTACTAGCAGTTTGGAAAGTTGGGTTCTGCATACACCATATCCACTGCACTGTGCATAGCGTGCAGAATCGAATAGAGAAGGAGAGTGAAACATAAGTGGCCTGTCCTGCATTAAGATCTTGAAGAATTGCAATAATTGCAAATTCTATTATATAAGCTGTACACATGTAGGATATGGTCGCAGACTGCTTACTTCGGGATTGGCGAGGTTTGGAAGCCAAACATCTTGTGCGATTTTATGCTAGGCACCAGGATGTAACGTTTTGTTATTTCAACAAGGGTTTGGTAGTGTGAAACACACTTCTCGTTACGCAGTACTGCCGTGGTGACTCTAGGACTTCTCAAAACACTAAAATACGAGAACGTTTACGGTGCAAATTTAGTTTAATTTACATCCTGAGAATCCCGTCTGTACTTAACCACATGCAAGAGTATCACAAGAGTGCCACAATAGGAACATTTTCGAATTCAAATTTGGAAGTACGATGTAGAGGTAGCGACTTCAGCAACAATAAAGGAATTGTGTGTTGCTAGTACGTGAGAAATTGTGCTTTCCTTGCCTACTGGACTTGACACTTGACTGACTCTCGCCAGCCGTGCAGACAACATGGGAAGATCTTTGGTTATACACATATCAACCATCACAAGCAAAGCAGCACTCCTCTCCTACCTTGGCAAGATTGTGATGACTGGTCAAAGTGATATCCAGTTTGACACGAACACTGATATGATCCCCGGGTATTCGTGCACAGCATGTCTCCAGAACACACAGGATCACTGCCAATGCATTCATCTATGTCTGCAGTAGCAACAGCATCACAGGAAATAAGGAACAGAACATTCAGCCACGGTAGTTTAGGTGTGTTCGCTTCACAAGAAAACGCATTCCAGGATTATGCGGTTGGAGGAACCAGCTTCAGCTATGGCATGTATTTTTAACAACTTGTATGCCTATGTGGCATGTTGTGTATACCCAGGACTAGTGAATTACTATCAGGAAAGTTTCGTATCCAGGAACCATGCACTAAAGTCTGCTGATGCACAGACGTCTACAGCATGACTTCCTCACGATATGTCATTTAAAAATCTGCACCAAAGACGAGAGGCCGGATGATAAAAGCGAACATTCCCGGCAAAAAAAAACAGTTTCCATTTGTTTCCAATAAACTTTCACTACTGTACTGCAGTTTTGGTGCTGTGCCAAGGCTAAGGGCACAGTGAGCAGACACGTACTGTACATGGAGGATTAACCTAACATATTCCAGTCAGTGCATATCTCTTGTAGGCTTTCAAACAATAATACGAGGACGAAAAAGTGCTTTTACTCCGAGTTTCACGCACTGAGCGATCATCAGAAAACAGTACCCATGTAGCTTTCTGTACATGGGTGTAAATCACATGCAGGCCGCATAAAATTACAAACGGGTACTCAGCACCTTGGCATGTGACTTGATCCACAGCGAGGTTGTAGCCATCTTGACACGCACACTGGAAAGACCCATCCGTATTGACACACAGACCATCACAAGGACTTGTTGGTGAGCTGTTACACTCATCAATATCTGAAACAACAAACATCACAACACAGCTCACCTACTGCTTAGCCACTGGCAACTAAAAGCAAGGACTGAGATTAGGCAAAGATGGAGCAAAGGTATAAAAAGAATACAATGCAAATTGAAAAGGGTACCTATGGATGTGACAAACATGTTCATCCCTGGTATCTGGGTATGAGTACAGCAAGTAACGTTACATTGTAGAGTAACACCAGTCTAGTAAGACGTCCGCTCAAGGGACCATCAAACTGTGATCCCCGTGTACAGGTGGTGTCCTCAGCCAGGGTCATTTGACTGGAGATGACACCCCTTGGTGCTTGTTGTAGTGCCGGGTCCTCGGAGGCAAGCGGTCACCTTATCCAATCTGCCACCTTGACATGTTCTACTGTATTAGTCATGGGAACGAGAATAACACAGCCAATATGCTAACCAGACTTGCACTATGTGCATGCGATTGGTCAGCTGCATTGAAACGGGTCGATGAAGTGTGCAAATAACACATGCATGTGTAGAATCATCAGGCCCTTGAAAGCAGGACTCTGAGCTGTGTGCGAGCATTCACACTTACCGTCACATAGGATAGGCAAGAGCGCGTCCACCTCATAACCAGCCCGACAGGAGCACACCGGCGTGAAGGCTGCATCTTGGCTGCAGAGCTGCTCACAGCCACCACCATTCCGACAGGGCAGAAGTGCTGTGCGAGCAACAGGGAATGGAGAAAGCATTTGGACACTTGAAGCATGGTACATAGCCTTTCCCATGTCAAAATGAAGGATACTTTTTTCTCAGTTTTCATGCATATGCAACCATCAGACTATACCGGCTGCAGAGACCACGCCTTCCTGTGCACGAGCTCGATGTGGGAGTGAATGATTTGGTTTCTGAAAGTGAACATGTTCTATGCAATGGTGTATATGTGCTAATGACCCGGGTATGGGTGAAATAATCATATTAAAAATTTATAATTAACGGCAAAGTATGAAAAGTGCAAGTGCTGCCGGGATCCAAACGGGCTGATGATTTAGTATTTTGGGTGTATTGTCACCCAACCCTGCAAATGTCTGGGTGGGGGGGGGGGGGGGGGGGGTGGGCAAACTGGTACACTGGATCCCCCCCCCCCCCCATGTAGCTATATCCCGCCACCCCTTTAAATCCTTCAGACTTACGTGTACAGTCGGTGGTCCCGTTGAGGATAAAGCCGGCAAAGCAGCCACACACGTATGATCCCACTGTGTTGCGGCATGTCTGGCTGCACTCGTCAGTTTTCAATGAGCATTCGTCAAGGTCTGCCAATGTGTGAGGGTACAAGAACACACAAACACCAAAGACATTTTGCCATCTTTTCACAACTGTCATGGGGTGACAATGGTTGAAATTCAGTTGGACTGCTGCTGAAAGTTCACACCCACTGCTATAGAGCACCAGCACTAGTATTTCGAAGGGACGAAGTTAGGAGTTGCCAAAATTGCCACAAACGTGCCATAACAAGAGATTTTAGTACCTGAACTTGTTGATTTGCTGGACGGTGGAATGATTCTAAGCTAGTCCAGTATGTGTGATATGCTACGCTTACACATCCATGAAGAGTTTTAGGGGGATGTGCTATAGACTCAAGTGATTGCAATTGCAACACAACTAAGGTTTCCAATAGAGGTGGATGTGTAACACTTCAATATAATCCTGCACGCCCTCACACACTACATAGTGAATGCCCTGCACATGCCTATGACAAGACAAAGAAACCTAGTGACGCACTCTGCCATTGGACGCAGTACACATAAAATTGCTGGAGGTACGGCCTTACCATCACACTCTACATCATCAGCAGCCAGCTGAAATCCGCTGTTGCACGCACACTGGTAGCTACCCTGTGTATTGACACATTGCTGTGTACATGGAGATGGACTGATGTCTTTACACTCGTCCAGGTCTGGAATAACACAGCCGCCGGGAACACCGGAAAGGCAACAGTGAAAAGACGGTGTGTGCGTTCGATTACGCCCTTGAATCGCGGTTCATGGGCGTAATCTTATCCATACAAGTCATTTGATTTTCATGTCGTGAGCCCTGGAATCGGTCTGTAATCGATTCATCCTATTTACACGGGGTGATGAGAATAGCCAGGGGCAATTCTTGAATGGATTCAAGATGGATTCGTGGGCAAAATTGAACGCGCTCAGTGTGCATGCAAACCAGGCCATCACTAACCAGGCCATCACTAACCAGGCCATCACTAACCAGGCCATCACTAACCAGGCCATCACTAACCAGGCCATCACTAACCAGGCCATCACTAACCAGGCCATCACTAACCAGGCCATCACTAACCAGGCCATCACTAACCAGGCCATCACTAACCAGGCCATCACTAACCAGGCCATCACTAACCAGGCCATCACTAACCAGGCCATCACTAACCAGGCCATCACTAACCAGGCCATCACTAACCAGGCCATCACTAACCAGGCCATCACTAACCAGGCCATCACTAACCAGGCCATCATTAACCAGACCATCACTAACCAGGCCATCACTAACCAGGCCATCACTAACCAGGCCATCACTAAGAGATGGGAAAGGCTCAAGGACAGCGCATGCAAACCAGGCCATCACTAAGAGATGGGAAAGGCTCAAGGACAGCGCATGCAAACCAGGCCATCACTAAGAGATGGGAAAGGCTCAAGGACAGCGGACTAATTTTGAGCAAGCACGAAGGACACAGTGCACTGTACATGTCCTTTCGTCTTCCAAAACATGTTTTCAAGTGCACCAGGGTAGGCACTGTTACTGGGGCTGTGCCAATGTTCATGCACGAGTGAACAAAAGGAAACCCAGCCATCCATTGGAGCTCTGCCCTCCATGCTAACGTGATACATAGAGGACGATAATGATAGGGCCAATGCGTTGGCCTAAACTGTGACTCAAACGATTACAATACCTAGCTAGCCTGCTTCTTTTCTGCCCACAGGGCATGTGTTCATTGTCACACAGGACAAAACCTGAGACGGACGTACAAGGAAATCACCTACCAGCTATACAATGCGCCATGCAGGAGTGTAAGTGCCAGCAAAAGACACACTAGGGGAGAAACATGCCAACAGGCACCTAAAGTGTGCTATCAGTAAACAGTTCACTTACTGCTATGTCTAGTAATATTATGACTCCCTTCATTGTCATCATTCATATTGTGCATGCGTAGGAAATACATGGTCTCTTTTGCCTTGACAGACTCTGAGGGTGAGACACAACACTTACCGAAGCAGCCTACTCCATCTCCCGAGAATCCCGGCGGACAGGCAGCACATTGAAACCCGGTGGCTGGAGCAGGCCGGTCTACGCAAGGCACACCGCCGGAACATGGTTGATACGCTGCCCGACAGCCGTCGCGGTCCAACTGGCAGTAATCGCCGTCATACGCCGGTGGACACTCACACGTGTATATGTGTGTACGCGCCGAGCTCAGTTTGGAGGTCTCGTTTGTACACACGCCGTGGTCGCAGTCACAGATGAAGACGATCGGGCGGATAAGCACAACACGGCCATCCCCGTCAAACACAACGCATTGAATCGATGTGGCGGGACTGTTCCGTTTCAGTGCAAATACATACCTGTTGTTGGCGTTGTCTTCGTTGAGTACTTGAAAGGAGGAGTTGTCGCGATCAACCCACACCGACGTGAAGTTCTTCCCACCATCTATTCCCGCAAGCTCAGGCAGGTCAATGTTGCAGATACCTCGCATGCACCTGATTGTAGGGGTAGCGGTTCGGACAGGAAAAGGCCCATCGTCTACATCAAACACACGGGACATGCCAAAGCACACACACATACGGCCAAGTAGATGAATTGAACTGAATTGCCTGAAAACCAGCATCAAGAACACATTCCTCGAAAGCAGAGTATTATAATCATGCAGTGGAAAAATCTAAGGAATCTCTTCACAGGTTCTATGGGCAGTTCACGCATATAGGACACAGCAGAGTTCAATAACATCAGATAATGCAGCAGTGACATCCGCTCGCAGATCTATGAACCCTGCTATTGAACTAAAGCACGTTGACACATTGGCAACGAGACAAGACAGACTGCCAGACTTGGAGTGCACTTACTTGCGTCTTTATCTTTCTGCCCTTCGTCATCGACTATTTTGATAATAGCTTTCGTCCGTTGAAGGTCACCTGTGACGTTTGCCAGTTTCTGGCACAGCATATCATTGCCACACACTTCCTTAGCCTTATCCAAGAAATCATCCGCTTTAGGTACAGTGGGAACAATGGGTGCGCTTGAAGGGGGATCCCCTAAGCACCTAGGGTCTGACACCACTTGTAGTTCATTACACTGAAGGCGCCCTGGAAATGAGAGAAAAGGAATCCGAAAAAGCTTGGCTTGATGCCCGTGGCGTTGAGATTAGATCACTTCATTGCATACGATGAGGGCCTGAGGACTTGCTTTATATACTTCCTCTGCGTCATCGAAATTGTCGCAGTTTGACTAGTGACTTGTCACTTGTTACTGACAACTCCATAAGCTAAGCCATTCAAAACTTATTACACAGTATGATAGTCTGACGACTAAAGTAACGTTCCAGGACAGTTGGACTGAGAGTTTTCATGCAGAGATGAAGTCCTCGTCGCCGCTGATGTCAATGGACGCAAAAATATCGTTCCGAAATATTTCAAGGAAGGTTGAAAGTTGGTCGCGCCTCATCTCAAACGCTTTGACGTTCTCCACAAGACAAGAGCTGCTATGCATGTCGTCTGCTAGCTCTGGATGATTTCTACTTCACCACCAACGAAGCCTAGTAAGAATACACGATCATTGCGAGGTCGGTTGATTACCGTCGGCGGAATCACCTCGATCTTGAAATGAACTTTTTTTAGCCGTGGCATGCCCATTTATTTTAGCTGTGTGGTCACAGCTCGTGCAGGTAAGTGTACTATCACGTCCAGCGCGCCCTCTTTTTCAGCATCACTAGTATACCATGGTACGGCACCTAGTACCTGCGCGTGCATCACTACCTAGCACTACGTGCAGAGTCTACATGGCTCTTGCAGGTACAATCATGTACTGAGTGTCTCAGCCAGAGCGACAAATTTTATCGCTGTTGCAGGCATTTAGTTTGCTGACCTCTCGATGTTTCTCCAAGCGCTGCCACTTGTTCCACGAAGTCATTCTCACCCCAGCTAAGGTAAAACAGTGATGAGGCTTGAGTGAATGGCCATAAGCACGAGAAATGTGCAGGCTGCAACGCCTGACTGATCTCAGCGAGTCGAAATTACCATCGCAGCGACATCAGCGAAGAAATTGCGTCTAGTTCAAAAATTTCAGCTTCCAATAACAGAAAATAGAACTTTGCCGTCACCCTATACTGATGATTATCACCTATGTCCGATTCCTTGCCTCTGGTACGAGTGCTGGTGAGTAAACACCCTGTTTTATATCAAGAGTCAAACTGCGACAATTTCGATGACGCGGAGGAAGTAATTATTATCACTTGTCCCATCGCCCCGACCACTCACGTACCTATGCATGCACACACACTCACGTGCACACACACACACTGACACACATACACACATACATATACACACACATATACACACTTGTAGCACTTGTACTTGTTGCTCACTGCCAAAACTGGTCACGTGGGTCTCCCCGGGAGAGGGGAGAGAGACTCCAAAGGAATCTTAAAAAGATGACTCAACTGGCTATTGAACCGCCCAACGGCCGACACCCCCTGAAATCCCCAAAACTCTGGGTGGACTTGAAAATGATCCCACTTATGGGCTCACCACACCTCAGTAAGTGGGTGAGGACAAGGTGCAGAAAAAGGATTGACGGCATCAGGGTATCCGTCCTGGGATCCAACTGCAGTTACCCCTGCCCCCAGTGAAGGTAATACTTGCTACTAGTGTGGGTGGCTAAATCAGAGTGGATCTGATCTAAGCGTCACTAGCATCATTGATTACACAAGAGTTAATCTAGCCAGAAGCAGTCCATGGTTAACAGGTATGTATACTTCAAATAGAAAGTAACCTGAAATCAACAAAGGTGGCAGATACAACAATACACCTTCAAGCAGCCGAGCCTGTTGGCAACAGACCCAACACAATCAGGCAACCGGACTAGCTGGCACACACACACACACACACACACACACACACACACACACACACACACACACACACACACACACACACACACACACACACACACACACACACACATACATTGACACACACACGCACCCACACACAAACACATTCACACATTAACACAAAAACCATATTAAACCCAACTTGCCCTTATTCAACCAAAACCAATGCTTGTAATATATTTCTCAACTTCTGATTCCCCAAAGGAACTCACCGGAGAAACTCTGGAAGATCACCAAAATCCCTTGATCGCAAGAAGATGAAATTAGATGGGGGGGGGGGGGGGGGAGTACATGTTAGCAATCTCGCACTTACATTGAGCAATATGCGGTGCAGACCTTGTTGCAGAAACCAATGCTCCCTTTCTTGTTGAAGACAAAGTACTACCACAGAGGAGACCACCAGTACAGTTCAGAGATGCTTGTGGTACACTAACAGATGTCCTGATGGAATTTCCCGGCTGGATCACGGAAAAGTCTGAAGTTAATCCGTTGTCGAATACAATCCGTTGTCGAATACCACTTTCCCATGAGTGCGATTAACAATGACGATACTAAGGCCCTTGTGGCTGCAGATCCCAACTGGGGGATTTTTCGTGTCATTGCCTAGTGAATGATTGACGCGATGACAGTTTCGGCCCCACTGCAAGCACTCCACTGTGATATTCTCATCCTCATCGGAGTAGACTCGGATGACTTTATTCGTCAGCGGCATGCCATTCACGCTGAACACCAGCGTCCCATTGTCTGACACGTCAACCACTACAGTGTCCGCATCCTCAGCCGTCAACCCCACGCCCGTAACACCTGGCACTGCCCCGGGGCTGGCTTGCGCAGACACAGCCTCAATGCGAAGATCCCCAGGTGCACGCAGCAGAAGGAACGCACCCGGTGCGTCCACCAAGAACTGCCCACTGTTCACAGCCTGAGCCAGCGGCAAGGCAGCAAATCCTGCAGAAATGTCGGAAATTGTACACACAACCAAGCCTCTCGGTAATAGATCACAAATATTACAGGCAACCATGAAATAATTTTGGAACTAGGTCATATCACTTTGTGCTCCAAGACTATTTTTTGTAGTCAAATGGAAGTACACAGTGTGCATGAATCAAGGGACCGGGAAACCTCTCTTCATGTTAAAGGAGAAGTTAAGGCAAAAATTAAAATTTCACCAGTTGTAGTCTTGGGGGTGCTGAGTCGAATGGTCTTGGTCCGAGAAAGCTGAGACGCTCCCTTCCTACTTGAATCCCAATCGAACTCGCGCACTTCCACCGAAACTGGGTGACTGCGCCCTACTAGATGGGGATTTGTATGCAAAATGTCACTAAAAGCGCCATTTCGTTCTTATAAAAGCACGGATGACCGCGATTGGCCCATATGTTGTAGTCTTTTGGACGCTGAGTCGACTGGTTTTGGTCCGAAAAGGCTGCGATGCAGCGTTCCTCCTTTATTCCCAATCGAACATGGTTGAACAAGCGGTCACGTGCTCCTGCGTAAACCAGTCACCTGGTCACCGTGCCTGCAGGGTACAACTTACTAGCCTGTTTGACCTTTTTTGGATGCAGTCCTGTCACTCGAGTTGAACTCGAGTTGAACCTTGGTGTGAAAGTTGTCGCCTGCTGGGGTGCCGACCAGGTGATTTGGGCACCCATGAGCACGTGACCACTTGTTCAACCATGTTCGATTGGGAATAAAGGAGGAACGCTGCATCGCAGCCTTTTCGGACCAAAACCAGTCGACTCAGCGTCCAAAAGACTACAACATATGGGCCAATCGCGGTCATCCGTGCTTTAATAAGAACGAAATGGCGCTTTTAGTGACATTTTGCATACAAATTGCCATCTAGCAGGGCGCAATCACCCAGTTTCGGTGGAAGTGCGCGAGTTCGATTGGGATTCAAGTAGGAAGGGAGCGTCTCAGCTTTCTCGGACCAAGACCATTCGACTCAGCACCCCGAAGACAACAACTGGTGAAATCTTTAATTTTTGCCTTAAAGGGGAAGTTAAGGCAAAAATTAAAATTTCACCAGTTGTAGTCTTCGGGGTGCTGAGTCGAATGGTCGTGGTCCGAGGAAGCTGAGACGCTCCCTTCCTACTTGAATCCCAATCGAACTCGCGCACTTCCACCGAAACTGGGTGACTGCGCCCTACGAGATGGGGATTTGTATGCAAAATGTCACTAAAAGCGCCATTTCGTTCTTATAAAAGCACGGATGAGATGGCCCATGTGTTGTAGTCTTTTGGACGCTGAGTCGACTGGTTTTGGTCCGAAAAGGCTGCGATGCGGCGTTCCTCCTTTATTCCCAATCGAACATGGTTGAACAAGCGGTCACGTGCTCCTGCGTACACCAGTCACCTGGTCACCGCGCCTGCAGGGTGCAACTTACTAGCCTGTTTGACCTTTTTTGGGTGCAGTCCTGTCACTCGAGTTGAACCCGAGTTGAACCTTGGTGTGAAAGTTGTCACCTGCTGGCGTGGTGACCAGGTGATTTGGGCACCCAGGACCACGTGACCGCTTGTTCAACCATGTTCGATAGGGAATAAAGGAGGAACGCTGCATCGCAGCCTTTTCGGACCAAAACCAGTCGACTCAGCGTCCCAAAGACTACAACATATGGGCCAATCGCGGTCATCCGTGCTTTTATAAGAACGAAATGGCGCTTTTAGTGACATTTTGCATACAAATCCCCATCTAGTAGGGCGCAGTCACCCAGTTTCGGTGGAAGTGCCAAGTTCGATTGGGATTCAAGTAGGAAGGGAGCGTCTCAGCTTCCTCGGACCAAGACCATTCGACTCAGCACCCCGAAGACTACAACTGGTGAAATTTTAATTTTTGCCTTAACTTCCCCTTTAACTTCCCCTTTAACTACCACTCGTCCAAAGTGAAAAAAATTCTCCCGAAAATCTTTTTTTTTAAATGCAGATGCAGCAGCAACAAGAGTCCTGGTTACACGACATACCGAAGTACTGTGGTTCATATCCAGTACAGGTCTTGCTCGGACGTTTCTCCCAAAACAGAGGACAAAGTGCCTCGTCCTTACAGCACCATTGATACGGCAATGTCTCCTGGGAGCTGACCGTAATCGGCTCATAGCTCAGCCAGGAGAAGCGTACCGAGTTACCGCCATCAGGTGCACCTTCAATAAATGCACCCTGACCAGGCTGCTGGGTGCGGTAACAGCACTCCTGAGAAGATCCGTTAACAGAAGGAACACTATTCTGGAAGCACATTCTTGGAAGGAGTTTTTTAAGTTGTTCAAACCTCGGGTCAGCTCTGGCCTGCTTCAAGGTACATGGACAGGGGTCTAGATGTTGAAGCCAGGTTGTAGGCTCCGGCTGAGAGGCATACCATGTCAGACAACGTTGCCTGGGTCCAGAGAAAGTGTTGGCATTGTACAGTTTATACACGTACATAGCTCCTGCACTGCCAGACGGAAGGAGATTGGGATCAGAAGTGTTCACTCTGTTATCAATGTGAGCAATTCTGAATGTCCCAGACCGACTGTCTACATGATTCCGTGTTGGTGTCGAATATCCAGACACTGCATGTCCAAACTTGGCATATGGATCAAGTGTAGCAGGAACAGACCACTGAATAGAATTTGGGTCATAGATGTATATGGCGTATGAGCGGAGTCCATCAGAAGCTAAGACACCTTGGAATGTGTTGTACTGAGTAGGGGAACAAGAACAAGAACACAAGCACAACACACCTATGCGGACTGGGTGAAGAACCCAGCTGCTGAAACTAAAGAGGACTGGAGTTGATTGCATACAGAAAGCATCTCTTGAAATTTGACTTGTTGCTCAAACGCTATAATTGTGATATTCATGAGTTTGAGGGAGTTCAAATGAAAGCAACAATAGGTATAGGAATCAACTTCAATCAAGTTACTGTATCCCCGCCCCTAGAGCATCCCATCACTTCCAAGCCCCCGTCCCACCACCATCACCATCTTGTTATCTCATCTCATTTGGGAAAGGAGCACAATTGTGCAATCGTGATCAGTACGTGAGATGTTTAGTGTAAGTTGCCAGAGTTGACATACACACTAACCCAAATAACTTGAATTTTGTTCAGTCTACAAGCTTTGTTATAATGCGTTCAAAACCTCCTTGCTTCCGTCAAATTTAGTGGTGTCTGCAAAAGAAGTAAAATACAGGAGCAAGACAAGGACTATCTCTCATTGCAAGAAGTCAAGACTTCCTTCCCGCTTTCGAAATGAGAATAGGGTTGGTCTTGCTTGTGTTTTGTTATTGCCAAAGAAGCTCCACAACTTCGTGCGCTCCCTGACACATGGAGCCTGTGGATCTCACAAGGGATAGATTTCACATCCAAGAAAGCTACCACTCTGCACGGGGAAAGTCCTGACAGTGGAGCCTTCTGATCCAAGCACTTCGGAACCAAAGGGTACCCTTATCTTACGTCCATGCTCACTGAACAAACGGAAATTATACAAATTGTGATAAGGGAGCGTCAACAATATGGCATATGATGTTACTGTTAGGCAAAAGTGATTAGATGTTGTAGCATATTTAGGATGCCCTGAAGACCAAAGTGCCCGAGAATCCTGTGTCCGCAGGTATGAGCACACACGCACGCACACACGCGCGTGCAAGCACGCACCCACGCACACACACGCACACACACACACACACACACACACACACACAGAACACACACACACACACACACACATGCTCAGTCGGTGTATATCTAACGTTACAACCCCATCCAACATAGCAATGATGACACTGAGAAGACAACTTACCAGCTGATACTGATACCGGCTAGGGTAAGGTGTGATTCTCTCCCAGGTGACTACTGCGCCCCATGTTGGGGTGAATTGGAATGATGGACCAGCTAGCCTTTCCTTAGCTACGACAATGCTCTCAATATCTTGCAGCATATCCCTGTCTGAGGGAGCTCCTCGTTCGTAGAAGTGATACCAGACGTGGGATCTCTGGCCGTCTGGGAGAGTTCTAGAGTACCTGTTGTCAGCAGACGACCAGTAGGGTGCCAGCATCGTTGGTTGGGTTGCCCACTGTCCTGGGAACACCTGAGGATGTCGGATGGATTGGTCTCGATCAAACAGGATCAGTCCATTCTCACAGATCTGCAGGGGGCGGGGGAGGGAGGGGGGGGGGGAGGGAGAGAGGGCAAACAGGAAAGGGCATAACACTGTTAGTTTGGCAGTGAGCTGGAGACGTTTGCAGCACAAAATTCACTACTAATTTTGTATTCTTAGGACCGGTAGATAATGGCTGGGCTCATCATCTGGGCTTAGAAGTTATAGTCGTACTTTCATCACTTTGACCAAGTGAATTACATGTACATGCCTTCAGCTGCTGTGGTTTGTCATGTGGGGCGTCACAGTCCGCCAAACAAATGAAAACCTGCTTCCCACGCCCCTGCCCTCAGGCGGACAATGCATGTTCCAAGTCAAATGAATGCCAGTGGTAAAATTATATCTACGCTCGTAACTATCAGCTCACTGTCACGCCTGAGTGCTGGTTGCCCCACAGTGGATATCCATTGGAAGCGGTTGCCAGGCGCTGGCTGTGACAAGACAGACCATCACCCAATGTCAGCTGATTGTCATTCTCGGACTTGCCATAAGGTAGCATCAGAGGGACATCTTTTGGTTTTTCGCCAACTGTGGGTGGGTGGAAGGAGATAGACACACACACGCACAGAGAATGACAGAGCACTCCATTTTATTATATTTGGTATCATCCACAAGACTCTAACACACTCTTTTAAAAGAGTTGCTAATAAACGGCAAGGAGACGATGTTGCCTTGTACAACTTTTCTGCGATGTGTTTCGCTATGCTTCAGTGATGCCATATTGCCACAGGGCTTATGCATCCGGTTTTTTCCCCTCGTCACTCCATCCGTTGGAGCGATGGGTTTGCTCTGTTCAGGCAAATATATTTGGTGGTGCCAAGTGGCCTTGCATCATTGCCTATTTCTGGAATCCGCGTGCATACCTTTTTCATTCCCGTTATTTTGTTCTCAGTCCTTCCTTCTAGATTTCTCTAGTTATCTGGTTCACACCTGCCTTCTGCCCACCACCCCTCAATATGTATGGTGTTGCTCTTGTTGTCTATGTCTCTCTGTATGCCAGTAATTGTGAAGCTGGATTTGGCCATTTCTATGGCGATCGCTCGGGAAATCTGCATGAAGTTGGCAGAATTGTGGAGTTTGTGCCGTGTGATTGGGGCTTTACACAAGCATGTGTTTTTGAAAAGCACACTTTGTACAGATGTCAGGTACTATTAGAGCTTGCACACTTTGACTTACTGGTATGGTCAGTGACAAACTGCCACACAGAAGTGTCAGTGAGTCCTTCGGATGGAACACCACCGCCAACACAGCTTTGTGTGCCTACGACCACTCCTGAATCCAGGGTGATGGCATACCTCTGACCAACCTTCAGCCTCTCTGGAATGGAGAATGTCAATCGGTAGTGGCTGTCATGTGTCGGGTGCTGCTCAACAAGTACGCTCTTAGAGGTTGAGGCAACAAGAGATAACACACGAGTTGTCCTAGAGCCATTCACCTCTGAGATGTGGATCTTGGCCTGGTTGTTGGACTTGAAAACCTGAGAAGCAGCAGAAAGCAGATTTAGACCATGCATCTGACTGTTGTGTGGTGTAGTTTTACAGAGTTAAAAGCTGGTCCTAATATTATAATAATGTAACTTCGATCCACCCCCTGTCTTAATCAATCTGTCTTAATCCTGTCTTAACACTTGTTGAAAAGTGAAAATTCAAAAGGTGGCTTCAAAACTTGCCCAAGTTCCCGTCCTTGCTGTGTGCGGCTCAAATGTTGGTATTATCATCTTGTCTGTGTAAAGAAGGGACTAAAGACAGGTAGGAAGATTAGCAATTGGGTGTTGTACTTCAATCTATTCATCCGTCACTCACCTGCTGATTGAAGTCGACTGAGAATGATGCGTAGTAGTGAGGAACTGTGGCTGATGTCGCAATGCTGGGCTGCGTAGTGCCAGGAACAATTAGCGGTGAAGAAGCTGCATGGGAAAGGGCCAGGGTGTATACCTCTTACTGATGGTGAGTGCATGAAAAAGTACAGGGCCTCAACCAAATGTGTACACGTGCCAGGCCACGACACCCTGCACTATTGTGCACAGAATGTTGACACTGATGACATGCAAATGAAATTCACATGGGCCATGATGCATCTGCGTTAGCTCCAAATCGTGGCCAAACCAGACTCCAGACTAAGTGCTTCTAGTACTTGAAAGGCAAATAGCTTACCCCCGGCCATTAGAGTGACACACCGCTGCTCTGATGCTTGCCTGCATCAAAGGGCAAATATGAAAGTGCAAGACAGCCTCATGAAACACCATAATAGCCTTCCACATGCAATAGTCAACTCCACTGGTGTAATAGGTGTATGTATGCTACTCACTATTCGTATTTCCCGCTCGTTCCCCTTGGCAATGAGCACTCACATAGAAGAGCGCATGCTCCAGTTCTGTTCTGTAGTAGTCTAGTCTTGAGTTGTCGTTGTCCTGTTCTCCTTCTGTCTACACTCTTATCGAATACTTCTATAAACTATCCAATCATATAAACCCTTGTGTTCCGGTGTGAGGGGCATCATTAGCCGGGAGCAGCTAACACTGGTGGCAGCGGAAAACGTCCACCACTACATCGCTGGCGAAGTATGTACGCCTTCGGAGATCGCCGACTATGAAGTACCACGAAGGCCCACGCAAGTGAAACCATATCCTCATCCACTCTCTTCGTCAATATTTTCCTTTCTGCATTGTGTTTCTTTCTGCTCGTCGTTTTCTTGTTGCATGCATTGTTTACCATGGTTTACAGTCCATAGGTCAAGCATTGGCGCCAACCTGTCTGGCCAAACATTTTCGGAACATTTTCTGTGTCCGTGTTTTGTGCATACTGGCTGCTGTCTAGTATCTTGTTAGGATATCTGCTAGCTGGGTAGTAGAGTCTAGCTACACTGTGTCCGTAGAGTAGTTGCCTATTTGGAATTGTCTCTGCCAAATTTAGTTGTTTGCCGCTACGCACGATAGGTTACGTAATAGATTTAGAATTAGATCGATATACCGCGAGGCGTCGATCGAGTCCACGGGAAATTTTTGCAGATAAATTTTTTTTTCGAAAATTCAAAAATACAAAAACAATTTTTTTTCACAATGGGCCGTTCAGCGAAATCCAAGAGACAAGAAAAGCTAGAGCGTAGCTTCGCTGAAGCTGGCTGTGACATGAGCATTGCTGAAGAGCGCGAGAGTTCGCCGGTACAAGGGTTGTCCCATCGTTTTCGTTTGCCGGACACAGACACACCACATGCACGTCCACTGCCGAAGCCGGTCTTGCTTCCTGAGACATTCGGAAATCAGCCAGGCCAAGATTTCACCACGTACATGAGGCATTTCGTCCACACATGCGAGTTGAGTGGGTACGACGACGACCAAAAGCTACGGCTACTACCTGCTCGCCTTGTTGGTACCGCTCATGAGATGTTCACCGAAATTCTAACTCACACGCCTGACATGAACTTTTCCGACACAGTCGAGGCTCTGCATGTCCGTCTTGAGCCGCCCCAGCAAGCATTGATGCACGAGGCCAGTCTTCGCCAGCGAGTGAAGCTGGCGAGTGAAACTCAGCACGGGTATGCCACGGAACTTCGTCGGCTCGCTCGTCGAGCCTACCCAGGACAACAAGGTGCACTGCTTGATTCAATGCTTTTGCAACTTTTTATTGATGGCCAGGCATCGAAGGATTTGCGCTTGGCGTTGGCGTCACCTCGGCCCACTGATTTGGATGCGGCGGTCCAAAAGGCCATCGAGGTAGGTGCTATTTATGCTCGCGAGCAGGCCCGCACCGTACCTCACCAGTATGCACAGCCCGTATTTGCTGCTGCTCCGGAAGTGAAGCCCGGTCGCACTGCTCATGGTCGTGACCCCAACACAGCAGTCGGTCCACTGAAATCGGAATCTGAGCGAGACCAGTTGGCTTCGCTTTTGTCGAGTTTTGATTCGCGTCTCTCTGCTTTGGAGGCGAAAATGGAGAGCGTGAGTCTGTATCGCCCCACCCGACCCCAGCAAGACCATGTACGTTTTGTTGCTCGTGGTGCTGGTGCTGGTGCGCCTAGTCGTGGTCGTGGCCAGAGTTTTGCGAGGCCTGTCCGTGGAGTGTGCCATGGATGTGGTGAAGAGGGCCACTTCATTGCATCTTGCCCGCACGCAAAAAACTAGGTTGGACTGGTGACACGGGGCCGCCGTCAGTCGTCCGAGTGGAGCCCCTCGAGGAGGTATGTGGTGCGATCTCACCCATTATTGTGCACGTTGATGTTTGTCTTTCGTCTTCGTCTCCTGTTGTTGCTCTTGTTGATTCTGGTTCAAGTGTGTCGTTAGTGCATTCTAAATTGTTGCCTAATTTGACAGAGCGACCTCCTCTAGAGTCTGCTCCGCGGTTGTGTGCAGTCAATGGCGCACAACTTCCTGTCGTTGGATCCATGGATCTGTGTATGTCGCTAGGAAATCTGTCTTTCCAGCACACGGTTGTTGTCTCTCCTGGTATTCACTGCGACATGATTCTTGGTTCCGATTTTTTGTTGCAGCATGGTGGTGTATTAGACATTGCTCGTGGTGTTGTGATGTTTGGCGATGTGTCTGTTCCGTTGCATGTTTCTGGTTCTGGGTGTCCTCCGTCACGTACGCCCTATGATCGTATTGTTCCGCGTAATACTTCCCCCTCATGTAATACTCATACTCCTCATTCTGATGCATGCTCCGACGATGTACCTGTTTCGTCGTATTCTTCTCGTGTTGCCCTTGACGATTCATTGTCTGCACGGGTTGTTGAACCCATGGCTCAACCTGGCGTTGTCCCGGCGTGTGCGCCCGAAAGTGTGGCCGACCCTGTGGTATACTCATCTCGTGTGGTGTTTGAGATGGAGTTGTCGGTACCTGCAGGACATGTTGTCTTGGTGCCTTGTGCAGCTGTTGATGTGTGCACGGTTGCGATGGATTGCGTGGCAGATCCATTGGAGTCCTTTATGGCGAAGCATCCAGATGTGGCAGTGACTCCTAGTCTTGTAACTGTTGGCCCTAACCAAACACGTGTGGTTGTGGCTGTTGAAAATCATGCAAATCATCCTATACTCATTCATAAAAATACCAATGTTGCCGAACTTCATCAAATTCCTACAGATTGTGAACATATTGACGACACTGAAGCTATGGTTTCCTCAGTTTCACCCGACCCGATCCCGCTAACTGAGCAACGCAAGAAAGTCATCGATGAATATATCAACGCACAAAATCATCTCTCCACAGAACAGTCTCGCACGCTCACTGAACTACTTCATGATAACCACGATTTATTTATCTTGCATGATGATGACTATGGCTACTGTGACATATTCCCTCATAAAATTAACACAGGACAAAATAACCCTATAAAACAACCTACCAGGCGGATTCCATATCACCGCCGGAAGGCTCTGCAAGATCTACTGAATATGCTGTTAAAGCAAGGCATAATACAAGAATCGATTAGTCCGTGGGCATCACCCATAGTATTGGTGCCAAAGAAGGATGGCTCTCTTCGACTCTGTATCGACTACAGGAAGTTGAACTCTGTCACCGAGCCTGATGCTTACCCGATTCCCCGGGCGGATGACATGCTTGATTCCCTGTCTGGCTGTCGGTATTTCACGTCCCTTGACTTAGCGTCAGGGTACTGGCAAATAGCAATGGAAGGAAGCGACAAGGCTAAGACGGCATTTACCACGCCGCTGGGCTTGTTTGAGTTTAATGTTCTGCCGATGGGCTGCAGGAATGGCCCAGCGACATTTCAGCGCGTAATGGAAGCAGTCCTGAGTGGCTTATGTAACACACCGGCCCAGCCATTCTGCCGTGTGTTCTTTGATGATGTCCTGAATGCCAGCGAAACACTGTCTGGCCAACTCCAGATTCTGCTGCCCGTGTTCGCGCGAGTTCGGTCCGCTGGACTGCGGTTCAATCTGAAGAAATGCTCCTTCTTCCAGGAGGAGGTCACTTTCCTAGGACACCGCGTGTCAGCGGAGGGCATCTCCCCGAATGAGGCCAAACTCGTCGCGGTCAGGAACTGGAAGACTCCGAAATCTGTCACAGCTGTCCGCGAGTTCCTTGGCTTCGCTGGATATTATCGCCGCTTCATCCGTGGGTTCGCCCAGCGTGCTGCTCCGCTGACTGCTCTGACAGGCAAGAATGCTCGCTTTGCGTGGTCGAAAGCTTGCGAAGCGGCATTCCAGGCTCTGAAGCGTTCGCTTGCCAGTGCGCCGGTGATGGCGTACCCCCAGTTTGAAGCTTCAGCAGGTGCATTCATTCTGAACACCGATGCGAGCAATGTGTCGATTGGTGCGGTCCTCAGCCAGATCCAGGATGGAACTGAGCGACCAATCGGGTACGGCAGCCGTGTACTGACGAAAGCTGAGCGCAACTACGATGCTAGCGATCGTGAGGCCCTTGCTCTGGTCTATTTTGCGGAGTATTTCAGGCACTACTTGTTGGCACGACCATTTGTTGCCAGGACGGACAATACTGCGTTGACTGCACTCCGGAACCTGAAGGAACCCCGCGGACGGAAAGCACGTTGGCTTGACTGTTTATCCGAATATGAATTCCGAGTCGTCCACCGTCCAGGTCGCCAACATCTGAATGCCGATGCTATGTCCCGCGTGGTGACCGATGTGCCGTCTCCTCCGCCGAGTCCGCCGCCTCTTGCCCGTGATGTTCCGCTGTCAGCTGCTGCTGAAGTGCCAGTTGCTGGAGCCACTTTCGTCAGTTCTCCTGATCCGCCGCCTGATTGTTTTCGGCCGCAGGATATTCTGAGTGCCCAGTCTGCTGATCCTGATCTCGCTGCGGTTTTGTCTTGGTACGATGCTGCCAGTGGGAAATTTGTCCGTCCACCTGAAGAGGATATCCGTCCCTTCAGCCGTCTTCAGAAATTCCTTTGGTCCTCTGTTTCTCAGTTGCGTCTTATCGATAAGGTGTTGTATCTTGATCCCCCGTTCGCTCATGATGTTGATGTCGAACATCCTGTTCTGATTGTCCCTGTCGTTTTGCAGTCTGCTGCGCTCGCGTCTGTTCATTCTCTGCCCGGTGCTGGTCACTTTGGCATTGAGAAAACGTTACATCTGGCCCGTCAACGTTTCTTTTGGCAGGGTATGGCATCCGATGTCCAGATTTATGTGCAGAGTTGTCCGACTTGTGCTCAGTTGGCTTCTAAGAATCCAGTGCACCGTGCTCCGTTGCAGTCCATGGCTGCTGGTTTTCCGTTTGAGTTTGTCGCATTGGATATCGTTGGTCCACTTCCTGTGACTCCAACCGGTAACAGGTATGTCCTTGTCATCGTCGACTACTTCACTCGCTGGGCTGAAGCCGTTCCTTTGTCTGCCATTACTGCTGAGGCTGTCGCTCTGGCATTTGTTCATGGTTGGGTGTCTCGCTTTGGAGCGCCACGTCGGCTCCACTCTGACCAAGGCTCTCAGTTCGAAGCTCGGTTGTTCCAGTCGTTGTGCACCATCCTTGGCATCCGGAAATCCCACACAACCAGTTACCACCCCGAGGGCAATGGACTTGTTGAACGCCTCAATCGTACGTTAATCCATCACCTGAAGGCTTTTGTTGGCCCTACAGATGTCCATTGGGATATTCACCTTCCGCTTGTTCTTCTCGCCTACCGTGCTGCTGTACACAGTAGTACTGGTTTTACGCCTTCCCGTTTGTTGTATGGTGCTGAGCTTCGCCTGCCTGTTGATCTGGTCTTTCCTCCTCCTGATCCTCCCGAGCTCTCCCCATTTGCCTATGTTCAGCTCGTACGTGATCGTTTAGCTCAGGCTCATTCTCTTGCTCGTGTTCAGTTAGCTGCTGTCCATCGTCACCAGAAGTCAGTGTATGATGCTCACTGCAGTGGTGCTTCGTTTGTCGTTGGCGATTTAGTCTGGCTGCATGATAAGGTGATTCATGCCGGCGAGTCTGCCAAGTTCCACCGTTATTGGTCCGGTCCGTTTCGTGTTGTTCGTGTGAATGGTCCTACGTCGTATACCTTGTCTATGCCTGGGTGTGAACGTACCGTCCATTTCAATCGCCTCAAGAAAGCTGTAACTGTGTCCGGTCCTGTTACATTGCCGCTGCCCGATGATGATTTGCCGCGCTGCGTTCCGCCGCTACAGCCGCCGTCGTCTGATCCGGTCCGTACTTCTTCTCCTGTTTCTCGTCGTTCTGGCCGTGTCCGCACTGCACCTGCTCGACTAGCTGACTATGTCCTGGACTGAGTTTATTATTTGGTTTGTTTTCTTTTGTTTGTTTCCTAGGTATTTCGTTCATTCCTGTGGACGTGAATTTTAGCTAGGGGGGCACAGTGTAATAGGTGTATGTATGCT